CACAGGGAAGTGAGAAGAGAGCAGTTACTTGGCACTACAATCAATGTCACAAAACAAAATGTGTACAAATGGTTGAATGGAAAATGAAATTGCTGTGTAAACTTTCACCCACACCACAATAAAAAGTTAAAAACAAACAAAACCAAAAAAAGCATTGTCTTTGTGGACTATGTTATAGAAATTGACCTTAATGTTCCCTGAGACTGTAGTCCTGAGCTCCCACGCCCAATGACTCATTCCCTCAAGGTGTTTGATTGTGAATAAGAAGTTTTCATAACTTTGCCCACTGTATATTTACATATATTTATAATTAGCAGTTTTAGGCAACAAGACATTCTAAAATGCCCAGGGCCAGCCAGTATGGGGAACGTGCTGCAGGATCATTATGGGAGTTTGTAGAAAAAACACTCAAGCGTGAGGCATAGTCATTGTCAGTAGCAGCATGAAATCACCTCTGTCCCCAACAAGGTCTATGTGTTAAGCATTGTTGTTCTCATGGTGTCTGGAATCCTGAGCAAGAGTCTGGTCTTCACTGTGCTGCTTGTTGTCACCCAGAGGTCTGTGCCATGATAGGTTCATGAACTAACGAGAATGACCTCTGATCTCCATGAGCATACAGCTGGTATTTCTGCTGGAAGAGGAATACGTGTGGATTAGGAATGTGGGTCAAGGTGGGGAGGACAAGGACATGAATTGAACCTGTAATTACAGGTTATTTCTAAGATGCAGAATCTCACTTTCCTGATCCTGCCTTGTGTTCGGCTGGGTTCTCTAGAGAAGCAAAACCAGTAAAGCTTTACACACACACACACACACATAGACAGAGATTTATCTTAGGAAAATGGCTCACATACTTATAGAAGCTGGCAAGTCCCAAGTTCCTGGATCAAACAACAAACTGGAAGCTTTTCCTGACTCATGCAGCTGCAAGGGCTGACGAGTTCAAGGTAACACCATGAAGATAAAGGAGAATGTGACTAGAACAATACAGTTAATAAGTTACCACTTACTAGTCAGGAGCTAAAACTAGAGGCTTCTTTTGTGGAAGACTAAGCACCCCAAACACATACAGAATAGGATCTCTAGGAGTTCTGTCCATGTCTACATGCCTCTTTTCCTTTGAGCACACAAGGGGCAGGGATAGTCGGGTGACAAGATATCACCTTTTATCCTCCTGGAGGGTACCCTCCACGTACACTCCTACTTTCCCACTACACATCCTTGTTCCTGCCTCAATTTGTCACCATAACTTTCCTTCCAGTTCCTCCCAGTAGGAGTACATGTCTACCTGTGTGTCGTAAACTTCAACAAATTTAAATCAGGATTTTCAATTGCAGAGACCTCTTCCTAGCTAAAGGGAAAGGGCCTTGTTGTGGCCATTTCAGTTTGGTAATATTAGTTACCCTTGAGTCCACTCCAACTCATGGCAACCCCATGTACGTCAGAGAAAAACTGTGTTCCAACATTTTGGTTAACAGCTGAGCACATTAACCATTTCCATCACCCATGGATTCTGTCTGAGCAATGGTCAAGGCTAATTTCCTCCTGAATTTTGAAGAACAAACATATTACTTCTGTGTGACTCATCCTCAAATGGCCCTACATCTTGCATCACATCCTCAAGATCCAGAGTCCTGGGCAGAGTCATATATTTGGGCAAGGCTAGGTCAAGTCATGTGCCTGCAACATCACTCACTGCCAGGGGGAAGGGGTGAGATGGATATTTGCTGCTATCCTCAATAGAAGAGGAAGTGGTTTCTGCATCCTTCTAAGACACACAAACTGAGTCATGTGCCCAAAACGGAAATGGCATTTCGTGCCAGAGAGCCATTTATGACAAACATACAGTACACAAACTCCTAAATCTGATCAGATTAAAAGAGACCACTCATGTCAAGCAGCTGGCACACAGTAAGACTTCAATCGGTGGTAGTGACTCCCATTGTCATTGTAATTATCCTGGTTTCTATACCTACACCTGGACTGGATGGCTCAGGGGAGTGCACACCTGGTACACAGGCAGCATAACTGAGGAATGCCTCAGGATCCATTTGACCTAATCAGAACTTTTGTAGGCAGGGTCTGTTGTGGACAGACCCTGTCCACAACAATTATTGCCTTATAATTCTCTAAGCTTCTTGTAAAAATGCAGATTCCTGGGCCCCTCCCCAGACCCACCAAATCAGATTCTCAGAGGTGGAGCCTGGGCATGTGTACATTTCCGAAGCTTCCAGAGTGATGGGATTGTGTGTCAGTGCTTGAAAACCACTAATGTAGATGAAAATTAAAGAACACAGATCAACAGGAAGGCATGAGTGGCCCTTGCAGTGCAAACAAGCATTAGTCCAGAAGGGAGAAGTGTGGAAGGAATGGAGTGGTCAGTGTCCAGGGATCCATCTGTCTTGATGACCTGAGGCAGGAAGTGGAACCAAACCCAAAAAACCCCGCCAAACTCACTGCCGTCAAGTTGATTCTGACTCATAGTGACCCCTCCTTGGGTTTCCAAGGTGGTATCTCTAAAGAAGTAGATCACCCAGTCTTCCTAGGAAGTGGAACCTAACCAAAACCAAACTCACTGCTGTCAAGTCAATTCTGACTCATAGCGGCCCCTCCTTGAGTTTCCGAGGCAGAAATAGATTGCCCAGCCTTCCTTCTGAGGAGTGGCTGGTGGGTTTGAACCACCAGCCTTCTGGTTAGCAGTCAAATGCCTTAGCACTAGGCCACCAAAACTCCCTACAGAGGTTGGAAATCAGGTGGGTGAGTGTGATAGGTCCAGCCAAGGATTCTAGCCTGGCCATGGTGGAGAATGGGGAGCGACTGTTTCCCAATAGGACAGTGACGTAAGGAAGACAGGAAGGAAGGTGACACAAGATTAGTGCTAGTTTGATTTTTTTTTGCCTTCTGTATTTTCCTAAGCTACTCCCTCTCATCACAGTTCCCTCAGGGCTTTGCAACTGCAGAGTTACTTGGGGAAGGTTATAAACATCCAAGAGGGCCCACATCCTCTAATTGCTTGGAGAGGCCCTGGCATGGCCAGCAGACAGAGGGTCCAGAAGAGGGATAGAATCGGAGGGACAGGACTCTGGAGGTGGCCCCAACTGCTGCTGCTGCTCTCTATTTCAGGTAAGGATAAGCAGAGGAGCTGGTAGAGAAGGCACCAGGGACAGAGAGGTAGACAGCTGAGGGAAACTTGTTACTGTGGAGTCAGTCTCAACTCATGGTGACCCTATGTGTTTCAGAGTAGAGCTGCACTCCATACATAGGGTTTTTGTGGCTGTGATTTTTCAGAATCAGATCACCAAGCCTTTCTTCAGAGGTACCTCTGTATGGGTTTGAATCACCAACATTTCAGTTAATAACATAGGGCTTAATCATCTGTGCCACCCAGAGACATCTAGACAAGGGGAGTCACCTAGTAAGAGGAATCTTCTCCCATTACTTTAGGATGACCTGCAGAGGTATTAGGGTGTGAGTTAGAGACAGGAATATCAAAAGTGAAGTGATGAATGCAGACTGGGCTGCAGCAGGGACTGGGTGATGAGATAGAAGCTGGGGGTTCCCCTTTGTGCATCTTGAAGATGAAAACATTACATGGCACCACTCAAGCAATCCCCCATGCTTGTGCTGATGCCCAAGGAGATGCAGAGAACAGTAAGATAGTCTTCTCTAAAGGAATAATATTCAGTCATCGGGGCAAAACAGGCATATTGGCTGCAGAAAAGGAATACAACATCCTAAGAGCCAAATAGCAACTAGCAGACAAACATGCAGTGGAAGTCACTGTAGCAGGGCAGAGAGGAGTGTGGAGAAGACATTTAGGATTCAGGAATCGATGGAGTTGACTTTAAATCCTTTCTCTGCTGTTTTCTACATGGGTGACCTTGAGAAACTCCTTTAACCTCTTTGAGCCCCATTCTTCTCATTTGTAAATAGGAATCAAATGGTACCTATTTAAGGAGGCTGTCCTTAGAATTAAACAGCAGGTGGATATCAAGCTCTTGACTCAGTATCTACCACATAGTAACTGCTTAGGAAAAGTTACAATGGTTGATGATATTGGAGGTGGTGGAGGTGATTCTGAAGATGATGTGACCAGGTGTAGGGTGGTCTATAGCACTGAGGGGTGAGAAGAAAAAGAGATTAGTGTCAGCTGGAACCGTTCAGGTGACTCTCCTCTGGGACTGACAGGGATGAAAATGGGAAGAGCATTCGACTTGAGGACAGCAGGAGATAATACAAAGGACAATGTTTCGGAAGGATAGGTGCTTCTCTGGGGAACCAAAGTAGAGTAAAAAATGAGTGGTAAAACCGATGCAGTTCTTTTTCAGCTTTGTGTTATAAAAACTTCACAACCTATGACAATACAGAAAGAAAACCAAAACAAAACCAAACTCACTGCCGTCAAGTCGGATCTGACTCATAGCAACCCTTCCTTGGGTTTCCGAGGCAGTATCACTACAAAAGTAGATTGCCCAACCTTCCTTCCAAGGAGTGGCTGGTGGGTTTGAACTGCCAGCCTTCTGGTTATCAGTCAAGTGCCTTATGCACTGTGCTACCAGAGCTCCCTATAGAAAGAAAAGCCAATATATATTCATCACCTAAATTCAATGATTAATATTTTGCCTCGTTTGCTTCATATGTGTGTGTGTTACTGATACACACACACACACATATAATTATTTTGAAATTTCTCAAGTGAGGAGAGTCAGGGAGGCTGAAGGGAGGGTGCAGGAAGAAGGATATAGACATTAATTTCAAAAGAATTTACAGAAATCCTAGGTATCTCCTAAATGTTTGATGAAGCTATTACTCCTGTTGAGCTGTGGTCATGTGGCTGCTGTGGAGCTTGAGGTCAGGAGTGCTGGGGTGCTGGAAAAAGTGTTTGATCAATGACACCCCCTTGAATCCTCATTCTAGGGTTTCAAGCAATAAACATAACTGAGGAGGCAGTATGCCTGATAGAAGGAAACAACCTGACTGTGCTCTGTCCTTACAACATCATGACATATGCCCTCAGCCTGAAGGCCTGGCAGCGGGTGAGAAGCCAGGGCCCCCCTGAGGTGCTGGTGCGCACAGAAACCAGAGACGCAGAGTTCAACAGAGCCCAGGCTGGGAGGTACCTACTGGAGGATTTTCCCACGGAAGCCGTCGTAAAGGTCACAGTGACAGGGCTCCAGAAGCAGGATGAGGGGCTGTATCAGTGTGTAATCGACCTCTCTCCTCAGGACCCCTTCATCCTGCATGATCGAATTCGGCTGGTTCACTGTGGTGGTGAGTATCAGGGAGATCCCACCCAGAGAAGGGCCTTTACTGACCTGACCTCCATAGCCAGAGCTAATGGTGGGGTCCATTCTGCTATGATATTCGTCTTTTCTTTCTTCTTTCCTTCCTCCTTCTTCCTTCCTTCCCTCTCTCCCTCCTTGTTTCCTCTCTTCCTTCCATCTGTCTCTAACCCAGGCTACATGCTATTTCTTTGGTCCTTGTTATTGTTGTTGTTATGTGCCGTCGAGTCGGCCCCAACTCATAGCGACCCCTCCTTGGGTTTCCGAGGCAGTATCACTACGGAAGTAGGATTGCCCAACCTTCCTTCCGAGGAGTGGCTGGTGGGTTTGAAACGCCAGCCGTCTGGTTAGCAGGCAAGTGTCTTAGCCACTATGCTACCAGAGCCTGCTTCTTGAATAGTCATCTTCACATCACTCATTATTCCTACAATCTATCCATCCACTCATCCATCTGTCTATTCACCTATCCATGCATCCATCCTTCCACACACTCACCCCATTCATTATCCATCTATCTATCTACCTAACTCCCAACAATTTATCCATCAATCTACCCACTCATTCATGCATCCACATATCCATTAATCCATCCATCCCTCCATCCATCCACCCATGCATGTATGCATCCATCCATCTATAATATTGTTTGAATACCTACTAGATACCAGACATTGTTGCTCATGCTTGGATTGTAGAGGTAAACAAGACAATGTCCTTTTCCTTATCAAGTTTATATCTAGTGACTAGCCCTTATGGGTAAGAGGTAGAATATCTGAAAGAATCCCTTTTAACAGATATGTCCTTGCTGGTGTCACAGTAGAACTTTCATTTCTGGTAGAACACAGTCAGCTGCCAACTCCTCCAGTGATGGAGAGAACCTCTAGCTGGAGGAGAAAAAATTTTTTTTCTTGAGGATATGGAGGGGAAGGTGTTGGTGGTCCTGAGGGGCCAACAAGGGCTTCCTCAAGAAGGACAGACTCCATCTGGGTCATGAAGGCTACAGTCCTGGGTTGAATTCAGCGTTCCTCACCCCATTCACAACTTTACCCTTCTCCTACCATCCTGCCTGCTGCTGCTTGGCCTGAGGGTTGATGTTTATCCTACAATTATATCTTCTTGCAGGTACTCCAGGTGCTGCTGTCTCTAATAAGAATCCCACCCAGTCTTTGGTTGAGACAACCACCCTTCCTTTGACTACCACCACTACTCTGAGAATAACCCGCACTTGGCCCAGGACTACTACCATTGTCTCTTCTCCTCTTCCCAGAGTCAACCACACAAATGTGGAGGATGTCACCAGGTATGGTTTGCAGGCCTCTGGGTCCCTGGTTGGACACAGCCCTTTGTTTTGCGGTCCACATGCTAACAGGAAGGGATAGTGAGGTGTAGGGTTGGGTAGTAGGCAGGAATAGACTTGATCCCACCTTTGGATCAGTCTGGATCTGAAACTCCCAAAGGAAGGAGGTGGTGGCAGTGTGAAGAGGAAGCTCTCCGCAGGTGGCCACTCTCCCAGCTCTCTTTTTGGGTCCCTTGCACAGCAAAGTAGTGGACAGAGGGAAATGGCATCTATTTGTTTAGTGAAAAGAATAGCCTGAGTGTGGGACTTGGATTCCAGTGTCAGACAGAGTAACTGCTGTGTGACTTTGGGCAAGTCTCTAACTCTCTCTGGCTTCACTTTCTTCATCTGTCCAAAGGAATACTAGAATACCAGAGCTGCAAGTTAGAATGTAGCCCAATGACTCTTGGCCATAATTGCATGTTAGAATTATCTATTGTGTTCATTTTTCATTCTTTTGTTTTGTTTTTAATACTCATGCATATACCCTAACTCAGACGAATAAATCAGAATTTCTAGAGGTCAGACTTGGTCCTTAGTAATTTTTAAACATTCTCCAATGTGCAGGCAGAGTTAGAACCATTCACATAGCACCCCCCCATTACAGTTTATTATTAAGCTGATTAATCTTAAAATGTATTTATTATTAAAAACTGAATTAACAGAGCAAGAACTTCTTCCCCCACTGCCCCATTCTTCCATATTTCCATAAAGTTATCTACTTCTGTAGTCATACTGCCTTAGGAAACCCAAGGAGGGGTCACTATGAGTTGGATCCGACTCGGCAGTGCGTTTATTATTATTTTTTTAAAATTACATTATTTCTTCTCCATATTCTCTTCTGGTACTTATTTATGATTATATATTTTAAATATGCCTCTGATTATAATTAAAACTATTTTATCATTCTATTCTGCTAAAGCCATTCTTTAATGTTGCTACCTGATCTACACAGTATAGTTTCAATGAGTGCATATTTTTTTAATTGAAAAGACAATTTTCATAATCATGTTTGTTTTTAGACACATTTTCTTGATACTATTGATAACTCTAAAATGAACATATTTAAAAAAAATTTTCTGTTTAAAAAATTCTAAATAAATCCACAGTCACTGTGGTGATATGTAGACGTGAGAATTGAGGCTGAGCCTCTGGTGTTTAAAACCCAGCGAAATGCACCTGGTGCACAGGTAACAGCCCAGCTTATAGACTGAGACAGACTAGGAAGAAGGAAGAGGCCGTCCGCTTCTCAAAGAATTAGCCAGGGAAAACCTTATGAATAGCAAAGAAACACTGTTTGGTACATTACCGCACACCTTTAGGAATAGTCTGTTTAGGCTAAAAAGCTCTCAAAATAGGACTGGGAAAGAGCTGCAACATCTGAGTAAACCC